ATTTTGGGAATGTACTGCAACTAATAGTTAAAGTATGTGTAAATTTATATACTTATTAAAGGCAATTATATAAGATTGTTAGTGTCATTTTGTAGCCATTAACTTGTGTGGATGTGTCTACTCAATTTTAAGGTTTTATTAATTTCCTTGCTTGGTCATTAACCAGTGTGGGCTTGTATACTAGAATGTAATGGTTCTGTGGCAGTCAAAAGCAATAATTTAGTTAGAAAAAATATATATATCTGAATTGTAATATTCAACTGATGTGCTAGAAGGTGTGACTTTTTTTGGGGATGTTGAACCTTTGATATATCAGTCAGTCTTGAACATATTTTGGTTTAACTTAGTTTTAAAATTATAAGCTTCAGTAAAATACTGTGTAACTGACATAAGAACTAAATTTCCCTTTTGGAACAAAATCTTAATGCAAAGACTAGGAAAGTTTAACACCTCTGAAGATTACTTCAAGATGAGCCATTTCCTGACCATGTGTGTCTTCAAGGGAATTTCACAATAATGCATCAATAAAGCTGTGTGAGCCATTTCCTGACCACGTGTGTCCTTTAGGGAATTTCAGAATAACACATCAGTGAAGCTGTGTGAGCCATTTCCTGACCATGTGTATCTTCAAAGGTATTTCAGAATAAATATTTGGTTACAGAGCTATCAAATAGAAAATCAGACTCTTCCTGCCACACCCACCTGTCACATCCTCTCTCTCAGGATTTGTTAATAGTTCTCTCTTACGTTTAATTATATATTACCTGTAACCAATAGAAAGTCAAGGTTTTTATCTATCAAATGATGTATTGCATAACGTTGTGTTCTGAATAGATAATCGTCAATTTCACTGTTATTACAAGATCCGTCCCTGTGGGAAATATAATGACTAGCTTGAATGAATTTGTAACGCCTCTTGTGAGAGTTAGGGGAAATTGTCTGTTTTTTGCATGTTATTGGTCTATGTTCTTTGGTGTATCATTTAATTAAATAATTATTTAATGCACTATTACCATTAGTGTGAAAAAAGTAGAGTTAATTATCATTGATAGTCAACAGAAAAAAAAAGAATTCTCGAGTAAATACTTTATCTCTTTTTTTTTTATGTTTATGTTTATTCTTTATTTATTATTATAAAAGTAACTAAAATGTAAAAATAGGAATCTCTTTAGGTTAGTTAAGGTTAGATTAGGTAAAATAAATATTAATAATTATAATATTATAAAAGTATTTCATGAGGCATGCATGCGAGCAGCTTGTGGGTGATGTAATTCTGTAGTGTAATGTGAGCTGCACATTCTCCTAGTGACTTACAACTTATAGTGGTGCAAATAGTAGTTAGACATGGTTCAAAAGACAATAAAACAGTAAAATTTAATTATAAATAGATGTATATTTTTACAAGTTTAAAGCTACTTAGGATAAGTAAATGTAGTTTCACACTACATTTGAAATCATTCTAGAAAGAAAAGGAGGATAATTTAGATTTTTTCTGATTTTTATTTATTTTTGGTGGTTACAAGGTCAGTCAAATTTACCAACCTTGTATAGGGTTAGGGTAGAGAAATTAACAGATAAAATATAAAGTTTTACCAAAAACAAACACTTGGAATGTATTTAGGAAGTTTTAGAGATTATACAAATGAATTTTTAGATGAAGAAAAGTATTTTTAATCTTAACATGAAAATTAGTTTGTGTATGGACTATTCCGAACAAAGACTTGATATATTCAAGGAAAATTTTTTTTTAGTTTATTAAAAATACTTCACTAAAAAATATGATTTTTTGCATGTGAAAGGCTTAAAATATTTATTGAAAGACTGCCAAATTTTGTGATCAAAAGTTAGTAGTATGAAATCTTTAAAGACTTTATATGAGTATAAAAAGGTCACATGGTCGGTCAAATTAACCGAGCTCGTGTGTAGAGAGTTAAGTTGTTTAATTACAAAGTGGTGCAACATTATCACACATGATTGCCTTTAGTTTCTGTACCAAACATCACTGACTAAAATATAAAATTTTTTCACTGAGTTTTTCGTGCACATACATGTAGGGATGTTTGTTTTTTCTTTTTCAGAAAACATCTTTCTGTGCAGCTAATAGAGTATAATGTTGCCATTAAAATGCCAAAACAGAATTAATACCCTTTACCAGAGTCATTGTCAGATCTTTAAATGATGCTAGTTGGAGTTTAAGAAGAATTGCATAATACCTTGGTCATTGACCAAGTACTCTGAAGTACACATTCAAAAGATAAAAGAAAACCAGATCTGTATGATAAGACAGAGAAAAAAGCTCAGTGAAGGAGATGTTGGATATCTAAAAATCAATTCCTAAAAAACCAAAGGAAAACTTTAAAAAAACCTTGCTGATGACATTAACAAAGTCACAAATTGATAAAGTTTCAAAAAGTACAGTCTAAAGAATGCTGCAGAAATGTGGCCTTCAGGAAGGAGTAGCAGCAAGAAAGTCCTTACAGCATGAATAGAATATAGCTAAGAGATTAGCTTTTGCATAGGAACATCTATCCTGGTTTTTGGAAAAGTGGCACAAGGCACTTTTGATATATGGGTGTAATTGTGAACTGTCTATATGTTTGCCAGAGAGTTGGTGAGAGATTGCAGAAGAAGTGCATGGAGGGAGTTTCTGTGAAGAGTTGTGGCACAATACCTACTAATGGTATGAGACACTTTGAAAAAAATTAATGGAATTATAGATCAGTATAAATACCAAAGAAAATTTGTCTGTCACTATACCCCATGGAAATATGTTGATTGGCCAGACTTTCATATTTGAAAAATATAATGACCTCATTTACAAATCAAAGAAATGTTGAGTTTATTTGGCAACTAAAGAAAGCTTAGGAGATCTAGTGAATGGAATGGTCACAACAAAGTTCAGAAGAAATCTTGGATATACTGGACTCCATGCTTGACAAAAGGTACCATCTGCACTAAAGAAGCCTCTGAACACAGTTTCAAGAAAATGGAATGAAATTATACCAGAAACTTTAAGAAGATACATAGTTACAGTCCTACAATAACACCAAGATATTAATGATGCCAAAGGTGGTCATACTAAACATTAGCATTAAAAACTCAACCCTGTAAAAGTGAAGTCAAAATGACCAATCTTGGAACTATAAAAGTATAAATGCTATGATCCTCAATTTACTAGGTTTATTTTCACATAATTTGTCAAGCTTTTAGTAAACATTACAAGTCTTTTTCTGCACAGAAAACCAGATTTTATAATAAAGTATTTCAAATGTTTTGTTTGTGAATTTCCAAAGCATTTACTGAATCAGTCTGAGTGAAAAGTGATTTTCATATTAAGAATCAATAAACGTTTCATTTTAGCTACTATTGTTTAAAACCATATATTGGTAAATCTATATAAACATAATAGTACTGTCTGTTGTATGTCCATGTAGCTATATTGCAGTATGTGTGGATGGATCTTCACCAAAATTGGTATGGAGGTTCAATAATTTCATGCGGGAGCACATTTTCAGTTTTGCAGTTTTTACCATTACTTTGCCTCCTGTAGATGGATCTTCACCAAATTTGGTATGGAAGCTCATTGGTTCCATGAGGAGATACATACAGATTTTCAATTGTTGTTTGTGGGTTTTTTTAGTTTTAACCACTACTCCATCCCCTGGTGAATGGATCTTCACCAAATTTGGCATGAAGGTTTATTGGGTCCATGCAGAGATACATGCAAATTTGCAGTTTCACATTTTGTGTTTTGCACTTTTTGATGAGCGTTTTTTTTACAATTATATATAAGGGAAGCAACTTTTCATGTCCTAAGATAACCTTTAATTAATCCTCAATTTACATAACTTCTGTCTAGGGGACGAGTACTCCAGCTAATAGAAAATATACATAAAAAACAAGTATTTCTAGTACTCGCTGTTTATTCAAGCTATTTGCATATTGACATTTTCCTCTTCTTCAGGGACAGCCTTGTTGAATATCACAATTTAGGTGTCCAAAAGAAATTCCTTTACCTTTCAGACATGTCGTTTAGAATACACAAAAATATACCAGTCACTAAAATAGAATGTCCCAAAACTTCTATAATTTATCTGGCTTTCTAAGTAAGCTGTAGATAGGTTAAAACTGTTAGCTATTTAGAGCAGTAAAAGCATGATCACATGATGACATTTCTGTAAAATTTAAAAGTATGGTTGTAAGTTTAGTATAGAGGAGGATCTGCTCTTTCTATAGGCTATAAACATGTCCATTAGCTATGTAAAAGTTAGTGAGTAAACAACCTCACATTGAGAAGGAGGTTCAAATATTTATTGATTTCTCTGTAAATAAAGAAGATAAGAGGTTCCCATATTCAATTTATGATTGTAGTGATGCATAGTTTGTGTTTCTCCAGCATGCTAGTATACAAGTTTCAATATTCTGAAATGAAGAATTCGGATCTCGGATGCGTAAAGTGACACTAAAAATGTTGAGTTAGAAATTTTTTAAGTATTTTGTTTTTGAAAGAAGTTAAAGCTTAGATAATATCAAACATTGGACTATAAACTACATTTCATGGTATGTTTATTTATCTGTATTGATAATAAAGTTGTTTAAGTTTTGAATGGAACATGTTAAAGGTCATGACATGCAGACTTCGACCCAGTTGTACATAGAGTTAAATGTTATCAGTATACTAATTTTGTAATGGTTTCCTTTAATAGTAATTTGCAATTATCAGTGATTTTTGTGTGTGAAAAGCTCATAAAAATGACAACAGTTGCTGAAGTGTTCTAATAAAACGCACTCACACATGTGTACGTACATACCTATATAAAATACACAATTTTCCATATGATGAATTGCTTTATAAAAAATCTGTATCTCAATAAAAGGTGAAGGTTATTAATCGTTTGACATTGGAACTTTTAAGTTAATTATACATGTTAAATTTTTGTTGTCACTTGTATTTGCAGTTTTTATTTTTTGTTGATCTAACTTAAAGCTGTCTCTTCCAGGTGGAGTTTGAGAATGGTATGGAAAACAGGTTGAAAAGAGAAGCTTTCTTTACTGAAGATGAGGAACTCCCAAAGGCAGTGAAGTCTAAGCTGGTATGTGTTTTTCACTAAAGTCAGTTAGAAAATAAATAAAATACTAGATATAAAAAATATTTTTAAAATGTAATTAATAAAACAGTGAAAATTAGTAAAAATAGCTGTGTTAAATGTAATGAGCTGTGAGATGTGCATAATGCAAGTTCAGCTTTAACAATGAATGTTTTTAAGTTCAACAGTGTTATTAAGAAATCTCTGTAAGACTGTTCTTAGTCATATGACTTAAAGTTTATCTCATTCCAAGTGCACACACACGCAGCTCCATTTTCAAAATTTTCAGTAAAAATTGTAATCATATTTCTACAGTAGTTTACTCAAATATATTGTGAATTCATATTTTATAATTATATAATTCTTATTTAATTTATTTCATAAATAAATATTCAAACAATATTCAAAATATAATTTCTGTTTGTCTTTAGGTGTTTAAATTGTAAACATTGCTCTTTTTTTTCTGGATCTTGTGGTTATATTTATTTCTCCCAATCTGATTTGACTTTTTCAGTTAGATTGACATTTATTTTATATTTTTATGCTTTCTCTTTGCTGAACTGTGAATTTATTGATGGAACTTGCATTTATATTACTGTTTAAGGAAACCTAAGGAACTTTGAATAGTTTTCTGCTTTTAAAAGGAATAAAGCCTAAGGTTAATAGTCATCAGAAAAGGGAGAAGGTCCTAACCTTTAATGTTCTGTAATCTAAATTATAATAATGCTCTGTGAAAATTAATATATGTTTAAAAGGAATAAAGCCTAAGGTTAATAGTCATCAGAAAAGGGAGAAGGTCCTAACCTTTAATGTTCTGTAATCTAAATTATAATAATGCTCTGTGAAAATTAATATTTTAGTAAATGGTGAGCTTGGGCATGATCATGATAATCAAAGCAACCTTAAAACAAGTTTTGAAATAGTTTCGAATTAATTATAGTCCTAAATTTTTTTATTTATTTTTTAATTTTTTGATAATTTTTATCTTTTGTCTGAAAGCTACAGAAATATTCCTCTATGACAAGGCATCAGATAACACATCTATTTTTATTGAATGTACTGTTATGTTTTTATTCAAACAATTCACAGAAATACAATAACATCTTATTTGTTGGAAACAAACTAATCTTTTAGAATATTGTTGGCAAAATATCCAGTTGTGAGACTTAACAAAGGTAGTGGTGTTTTTGTTTTGAAAAGTGGGTATTATTCACTGGTAAATCTTTATCAATCGTACAATGTTTGTATGATCCTCAACAAAATCTACTGCTTCAAGTAGCTAAATAAAATATCAAAAGAAATATATTAATGAATATCAAGTGAAAAACTGATTGGATATATATAAAATGGAACTTTCTGATCAGTAATAGAAGAACTGGAAAACTAAGAGATTTGGAAAAAAGTTCAATTATTTTTGAAACTGTTTAATGGCAAAATTTCTAATACTTACATGAATATTAATTGAAATTATAGGAATTGTTTCTGCATAAATCAGAAATTTTTGAATGTTTGTATCAGGTTTCATTCAAGTTGGTTAAGCATTTTCACAGGAAAGATATACAGGTGCTTTAAGCACTGCTGAGTCCATAATAGGGTTACGAGTGTAACTACTTACTTATCTTACTATCCACAAGCCCCTGCCTCTTTGAGAGTCTCCACAGTAGTCAAGAGCTCTTGTGTAATCTTACTACATGGGACCCATGAGGTTTAGTTGTATCCATTGAATAGGGTTAAGGTGGTGAAAATTATGCAAATGTTTTCTTGTTTTTATCACATCTTTAACAAATTGTAATTTTAATTATGAAATTTAAGATTAATTCACTCTGTAGGTTGTAGGGCTCAGTTTGATTTAAAAACAAAGTAAAACAACCTTAAAATTTAGAAATTACTTTGTCTAATTGTTATTGTCTTCATAAAGGATATCGGTTTATTTCTTTTCAGGACTTCCTATTAAGTGAAGATAATTTTTTCAGAAATTTATAGATTTCAATATTGTGATAGTTTGTCATTGACAACATTAATTAAGCACAAATTTTAACAGCAAGAGTCTTGTCTTTAGCATTTTAAATAATTTTTACAGAATAGAAGGTAGCTAATCACAGCAAGCTGTTACAAATTGGGTACATGTTTTAAGGTGTAACTTCATAATACCATCCTATATACCAAAGCACCAGTGAGGTGCCTTCCACTCACAGTAAGGCACAAAACAGCTTTCTTGCAGTAATGCCAAAAACATGTCTAGTAGACCAACAATATGTGAAGCAGTATTCTTTTTAGAGGTGAGTTTCCATTCACCATTATATACTTGTTTACCTGAAGAGCATGTGAAACCATATATAACTCCTTTTTCATACTAGAACATAATGTAATGCACATGTCAGTAAAAGCATGACATGGACAGGTATAAGCTTTGGTGGACATACAAAATGGTACCCTGATTTCACACAGTATAGGGATCACATCATTTGACCTTTACTCTCACCAGGCTTGAGTATACAGAAGTACTTTTGGGAGACTTGCTGTATCCCATCAATTGACACCAGACAATTAGAGATGCACTAGAAATAGGAATTTCAGAAAAGTGTGAGGGAATAACTAGGGGACTTTTCAACACTTGGAATATTAAAAATATCAAAATGTTATTAGTGTAAATTAAGTCTTATTTCTGTAAGCAAATTTATAAAAAACTAAATAACTAGTAATTACATTTTAATGTTAATTTTCCAAACTGAAAAATTTTAGGTTTTTGTTATTGAAGGATTCTCATGACCATATGTCTTCTTACAGTCTACTGCTACAGAGTCTCAACATCACTTGTTCCAAGAAGAGGGTGTCAATGGAAAACGTGTTCGTATTGCCAACTCCAAATACTCGTCAAATGACATATTGCCTTTGTGATTTGTCAAAACATTCATCACAATCCATCATCCTTGTACTTTTATCAGAGTAGAAGAGGAAGTGTTATTAACTTTCAGGTGAATTAACAGTATGGTCAGAAAAGATTGACCATTCTTTGTTGCACATCTTTCATCTTGACATTTCTGACTCTTTGGAGTACAGTTTGTTTTATGTTACTGAGCAATGGTAGACTTCATCAAACTGTATACAGACTTGTCATTCCACATGGAATTTGACATTTGTTTTTCAACATAGAAATTTCTCACTAGTTTTGAGACGAATCATTAAAACCTGTTAATGAGGTCACTTGCACTCATCAAAAAAATACCATTTGTTTGACTACAAAATAAGAAGCAAAGCAAGATGATTTAAGCAGTACATCTTTTTTGGTTTTTGTATGTATACTTCATTGAAGTCTTAAATACATATGTATATTTGTCCATCTTTTGTGTATTAAGTGAGAAAATTCAGCCCTTTAAACCTAGTGCCATGACAGCTGGTTTCACCTTGCATAAGATTTTAACTTGTATTCAAGAAATTATATTTACAGTTTTTCAATAATACATATTTTATGAATTAGAATAATAGTTAAAATGGAGAAAAGCTGCAAACTGATATTTGCATTTAATACTATTTAAGAGCCAGTTTGACCATCCTTTTTGGGAGGCAATCTTTATTGTTTTATTTTGTTCTTTTTTTCACACACACACACCCAAAAGAAAAATTATATATTTTTTAATGAAAGTGTATGAAATGTAAAGGTTAACTGTTAATACATTGTATTACTTCATTTTCTTTACTATTCAAGACGTATTTCTCATATGGTGAAGTGTTATTTCAAAGTTTTTTAATATGTATGGTTGTTTTATGCACCATGGAAAAAAGAGAAAATCTTAAGAATGTTAGAAACCTTGTTTTAGAAAGTTGTGTAGAACATTACATTCTTTTTTTGTTGAGTTATGCAAGTTGTGTGAATATTACCTTTTATAACTCTCAAAAGAAACTAGAGAAATTGTAAAAATACCAAAGTTTGACTATCAATTTTGTGTTGGTTTCTGCCAATGGATAGCTGCACTTGTTACTAGCTATGAATGTGATGTGTTACTATTGTTTTTGAAATAACTAGGGTATTTTCTGATATTATTTCTAGGATTTACGTGAAATCAGTCAAACTTGGTAGCTGCTGTCAAAAATGAAAATTATATCAAGCCTTTTGTCTAAACTTTGTTCGTTCATAAATTGTAAAAAATATCTTAAGGAAGAATCCATCCAAAGCTCTGAACTCTTTCAGATATATATTCTTTTGAACTGGTTAACTTAATATCATTTGTGATTGTGCTTCTACGTTTGTCCGTCTCTTTGTTTATCAAGTCTTGAGGTTTTGCACACACATTACTATGAATAATAGCTCAGATATTTAAGTGCTAAATCACATGATCAAAGGAACATTCATGGAACGCAAAACATTAGCATTAAGTTATAATGTGATCAATACTTTTAAGTCACCACAAAATCAGTATGCATTATGAACAAATACAAAGAAGCCATAATCTTTTCCTTATGATATAGACCATTGTTTCTAATATTATATTTAAGTGCTTTTGCGTGTTCTTAGTAAGCTTCTCCACCTTGCACATAATAAAGTTATTCACTTTAGCCAAGTTACATCTGTGAAGTTACTGTCAACATATTAATATAAATAACTTTATTCATGCAATCACAGAAACACACTACTGCATATAAAATACAATTATAAGGTACTATAGATTCTTATGCTATAAATTTAATTTATATCCAGTAGTTTTGAATATCAACACCAAGAAAATATACTTAAATCAAACCTGATTTGTTTACCTGTTTTAAAGAGTATAAAGACAAAGTTGTAAACAATTAAACAAATGTTGAATGTTCAAATTGGATCAAAGCTGAAAACACTACTACCAGTGAGGATACCCTACTGATGACTTAAGACTTTTTTTTTATTAAGATTAATTATTATTAATTCTAATTTTTATTGAAGAGTTTTTCAACTTTTAGGGTAGAAGTTATTATGCTATGTGTGTAATCATTTTTTTTCTAGGTTATTTGCAGTAATAAGATATACCGTAACTTTTATATAACTTTGATCACATGGGAATACACATTTTACAGAGTATTGTCATATAAAAAGGTGCTGTGAAATTTTAATTAGAAGGGAAAACTTCACATTATCTTGTAGGTACAACTCACATCTATGTTTAACATACTTTACTAATTCAGTGACATCAGAAAACTTGTTCTAAAATTAAATAGAAATTTTTAAATTTGATGTTTGTTTATTTGTTTCTATGAAATTACCTAACTTTGATAGAAACGTATAGCAAAGAACAAAACTTAGTTGAGTTGTGTATTTCATAATGATAAAAACAATTTCAGTGATGTAATATTATATGAAACTGTTAGTCTACCTTAAACTTTTCTCTTCAAATCTTTTTGTTCTGAAATGTGTGTGTGTGTGTGTATATACATATATTCTTTTGTTAAAATGTCAAAATTTACAGATAAAAGGGTTTTTATTTGAAAGAAAATTTGGGATCAAAAGAGCTATAATTGGGTATAGATGGAACAGCAGATGTAACATCACAATGGGGAGTTATTGATTTCATTTATTACAGTGTAATTTCTAAACATTTCACCTTGTTTAGGGTTGGGTTTTCTCACAGTCTTTTTGTTTTGTATGTGAACTTATTTAATTTGTTTTTGCAGTAATAGAATTTATTCAAAAAAGCTAACATTATACTTAATATAGAATTGTTTTTATTATTTGATTTATAAAAATGTAATTTGCTTTTCTGGAAATTCTTTTTTCATTTGATAAAGCTGGAAAGGACAAGCGTTGCACTTACTGTATATTGAACTTTGTATCTGCATGATTTCATCAGTGTTGAAAATAAGTGTATAGTCATTTTCTTTTAAGTTTCAGTAGCTGTGAATCATGGTAGTTTTGGCTTTCTTGCATTTTTTTTATTCCACTGTTACAAATCCTTATAAACTGTGGATAATTTTGTTAGTTTTTAGCTGATCTCATCCATGTTTATTGGTATTTAAAGCTATGGTAACTAAGTTTGTATATTAAATTCCTTGCTAATAAAATTCAAAATATATACACGTTTGTAATACGAGTTCTATGTGTGTTGTATTTTGTGGTTAATTTGTTTTTTGTTGGATTGTAACCTTGAAGCTGTTTAAGAGTGCATTGATAAATTATTTCGTTGATTAATTGGTTTCACAAAAAGAATTATACACCCATTAGATTTAAGTGATGTCAGCAAAAGTTAAATCAGCATATAAAAATGTATGAGAAGTTTTAGCTTGGTTGTCGATCATCAGTTTTCTTAGGAGCAATAAACTGTGCAAAGTTTTTGTGATTAGCTTATTTCTTTAAAACCACAGACTTTATACTAATGGACTGACCTTGTTAATAACTGTACCCAAACAGAACCAATATCTGTACTTTGGACGATTAGCCCTTTTTGAAAATGATTTTAGGAAAGTTATTAGTGTGTGCAGTATCATAAACAGAAATAATCATTTTTTTCGAAAATCAAACAGTGCATAATCTATATAAATATAATAGTACTGTCTGTTGTATGTGAATGTAACTACTTTGCAGGGAGTGGATGGATCTTCACTAAAAGTGGTATGGAGGCTCATTAGGTCCATGTGGGGTACATACAAGTTTTCAGTTTTGCATTTTGGGGTATTTATGGGCGTTTTGTATCACTACTTCGCACCCTGTAGATGGATCTTCACCAAATTTGGTTTGGAGGTTCATTGGGTTCATGGGGAGATACATACAAATTTTCAGATTTGCATTTTGCAGTTTTTATTGGTATTTTTGCATTTTTTACCACTACCTCGCATCCCGTGGATAAATCTTCATCAAATTTGGTATGGAGGTTAATTGGGTCTACCAGCAGATACATACAAATTTTTAGTTTTGTGGTTTTTATGGGCGTTTTTGAATTTTTTACTACAACTTTGCCTCTTGTTGGCGAATCTTCACCAAATTTGGTATGGAGGTTCATTGGGTCTATGGAGAGATACATACAAATTTTCAGTTTACTTTTTTTACAATTACATATAAGGGAAGCAACTTTTCATGTTCTAAGATAACCTTTCATTAATAATGAATTTACAAAATTTAGTATGTAAAATTTTTACAACATTAACTAGAAAGGCCAACACTACCATCATCTTTATTTGATAGGATCATCAGAATACAGTAGATTTCAAGAGAGAATGGTATTCAAGGTAGGGGAAAAGGGCATAAACTATATATATGTACTTTAGAGGGGGTAGATACTTAACACAGTACCAACTGGAGACTTCTTAGTGAAAAAATATTTATTGAAGCCTACTAAATTGTTGCTTTATGATACATAGAACGGCCACTTTTAGCGTAAATACATTTATTCGTAATATTTAAAATGTACAGGTAATTTCAGGGATGAGAATACATCAGGCTGAAAAAATCTGGAGGTTATCGGCAAATATAGTCAAGTCTACGATCGGTGTAATAGGCTCGAAGGAGGGTAGAAAATAGGTAATGTTTGAAAGAAATTTAGTGCATTTTTACTTAATATTTGGATATTCATGCAGAATTAGTGTTAAAATTAATACATTAATAAGTATGAATGGTTGTCACTTGTGTATTGCCCAAGGTGGCTCAGCGATAACTCTGATGGTTTATATTGAGTTTCGATACCCGTCATGGCCACAGCACAGATATCCCATTGTGTAACAGCCAAACCAAACCACTTGTGTGCTCGTTAAGATAAAATAATTAAAATGCAGCGTTTTTTTCGGTACACAAAACAATTATTGAACCCGTTGACTATGTTTTAATTGTGTGTGTAGAAAAACATTGTATTTTACTTATTTATTTGATTGCTGCTTCTGTATTGTGTGAATCTTATATTTGTGCACTTGTAACAATAGAAGAACTTTCCATAACATTTGATTATTTCAATCCGATGTTTTTCAGATAAGGATTATTAATTTATAATATACATTTAATAATTCTATGTAATTGATGCATATGTTCGTAATCTACTTTCAGTAGTATTTCCATCTCGAAACGAACACGACATCAACACTTATTAATTTTAATGACTACGATCTATTCAACAAAGACTGTCGTTGGTCAAGTGGTTTTTGAGACTCCGATTTTTACTTTGTTTCTAATTTAAAAAAAAAGGATTTTCTACGGTATATACATATAGAATTTAGTTTCAGCCTCCAACTCAACCCTTCTCTCGCCAAATGTTACAAATATTTTTCCTAACTATTCAGTACCTTGACTAAAAAACAGGAAGTTTCTCGTATCTGTATTTTTTAGGCAAATAAGACCCGTTTTTTGACACTGCATATACAATTTTGTACACCATGCGAATCAATACATGATTAATAACTACCCTGTGTAACATTTACATAATCAGAGAGTGACTAAGTTTAGAGTTCCATATTACATACGCGACGAATTTGTTTTTAACTTTTACCCCTATAAAAGCCAGATATAGGTACAAATCCCAACTATACGTGCTCCAATCTCTAGGAGTTGTTACAAGGTATCTTTGTGCAAAGTTTCATCGAGATTTAGAGGAATGGCAAGCCAGAAACTTTATTTTCTGTAAAATGGAAAGAAAAGCATGAATCCCAGATTTGTCTGTGGGGGCTGTCGTAAGGAATCGTTGTGCAAGGTATGATCTAAATTGTTCGAAATATATAGAAATGGTATACAGAAGTCCTAACTTTGTGATATATTTTTTATCTTTGACACCAGTAGAATCAACAAAATGGCACAAATTCAAATCTGTTTGTTTTAGTTTTTTTTTTGGGGGGGGGGTGTAGGGTTGTCTCAAGATATCATTGTGCCAAGAATTATTTGGGTTGTTAGAAATAGAACTGCAGGCCAGTGTGTCTTTTTGTAATGTTTTACGTTTGACGCCCTTAAGTAGGATTGAGGGGGGGGGGTTATTGGACTAAAGTATATGCTCACGAAGTTTCAAGAAGATCAGCTCAGAAATGAAAATGTGGCAAACAATTGTAACTGTTGAAAGGAAGAAGAAAGAAACGTAAAAATACAATATTTTTCCCCTTACTATGAAGGAAACATAAATATCCGATCTTACGCCAATCTCAAAGGCTGTGTGTAAAATTACAGGATGAAGAAATCAATTGTTTAGTGATTCATACGAAACCGAAAAACATAATGTACCTGACGAACCTCTCAGCATGAAGCCAAACTTTTTTATTCAAGTCCAGATAGGTAACAGCCCCAAGAGTATTCACCGCAAGTAGTGTGTGTTAGTAACGGACAGGGTAAGTATATGGTATCTTTACTGCTCATAGTAGAGACAAAAATCCATTTCTTATAATAGTATCTACTCATTCCTCGTATAAGTTATTAATATTAATTTCCGATCAGAGCAAGTTACCTAACTTATATCAAAAATAAAAGTGAACCCGGTCATAAGTATAGCTAATTAAATATATTTTTACGTTATAATATTAGTGTGTCATAATGTAATCTATTACTTATTAAATTAATATTAGTATATTAGTATTACGTCACGTACGTAATTAAATTTAAGTGTACAATATACTAACCTTAATTAGTAGTAGTTTAAG